AATGTTTTATTGTTATGAAAAGCTAAATTTGCATGGCTGATGGAAGAGCTTTGAGGACTTGACTGTATTTAAACTATTATCCTTAAGTGTTCATTACCTGTGTTCAAAACAAAGGATTAAATGGCTGCTCACTCATGTTTTTTCCACAGAATACTTTTAAGATATGGTCTTTTGGTAATTGCATGAGGAACTTTTTGTATGAGAGGAGCCACATCTGGATTTGATAATCCTGCCTGACCCAGAGGAGACTTACTTCAAACTAACTTTCCTCTTGGATTTTTAAGGATATAATATTTTGTCTATTATGAAAATACAAAAATCTGAAGCTGACTTGAGTGGCCCTTTTAATTTTTGTCCAAGCAGGCAAATACTCTTTTTTTTTTTTTTTTGCATGCAGTGGGTAATAGATCATGTGTTACAGACCACAGGGGAGACTGGCGGCGAGGGCAGAGAAATAAGATGCTGAATGATCTCTTCCTTCCATGAGAAACTGGACAAAATTTCATCTAAGTAATAGAGCTACAAGACAGCCCTTAGGTGCTATGAGGATTCAACCTGTGCAATACCTGCAGAAGTCTTCAGATAAATAATGATGTAAATGTGTGTGAGATCAGTCCAAGGCTTTAAGATGCTAGAGACAGGAGTTCTACAACCACCAAATTACTTCTGTTTCCAGATATTCAATATGAAGAAAGTAAGGGACTGATACTATCAGCGTAAAACATACACCCACACACGACAGTAGATGTTGTACTAGCCAGTTGTAGTCTCATGTGCATTCTTGAACTTCAGTTAGTGAATTAAACTCTACAGCAGTTATTAATGTTACTGTGATACTAGTCCACATAAGTTGCAATAACTCATTCTCCAGTTGGATAATATTAGATGTCTGACCCGTGGGGTGTATGTGTGTGTATACATACTATATATATATATGTGTATACACATATATAAAACAGTTGAAAGTATGTTCAAAGAGGAGAGAGAGTACTGAAACCATAGATTTGAAGGAAACTAAATTTTGAAGTTATTCTAGTATACGACATCTAGACAAGTTACGCCTTTCCTCTGCCTCCTATCATCGGCCTGATGATTTCTGTTACTGGGCTGTGTTTTTTGGGTGCTTCAAAAACAAAAACGTTACAGCCACAGTAAATCAGGTCCTGAGATAAAGTCTCAGTGTACAGGAAAGTGAGGCAGACAAGCTGAATTGCTATTTATGTGATGTGTTAGAAAAATGCTGTTAGGTGCACTGAGTTACGTTGGTCCTCAGCTATTAAACAGTATGGCACAGAAGTAGTGAGATACGGTCCAGTAACCACTAGCGTTTTAAGAAATTATTCTTGCATTGATCTGGCAGTCTAGTTCGGTTCGTGAAGAAGAGGCTCGCTTTCAGACTACGAGCTGACTGTTGGACGTAATGAAGATTTAGCTCTGTTTAGCTGCTGGCATCCTATGAATCCGACGATAAATAAGTCAGTCCAGGGGAAGTTAATCATCATGACCTGTGGTGTCTGAAAATCTCCTGCTCCCTGATGTTGTTAAGGGAGCCTGTTTGTAAATAGGGCAGGTCCCCTGCAGAAGGACAGTGTTTTTATTCACACCCAATGAACAAACACCTCCACCCAGTGTTGTTGTTTTAAAAGGCTCCAGCTGCTCATGAATATAGGGTCAGGGAGGGCCGCCTAAATGTTTCTCTGTGCTTTCTCCCCAGCGCAGCCAGCAGAGCTGTTTCCTGTTCTTTGTTTCAAGGCTGGGGTTTGCGTCACGCATTCCTAGTGGCATATGTGCTGCTCTTTCCTGTTTCGGGCTGCTTGCTGGTGGGTCGGGAGCCGGGCCCGGGCCCTGCTGGCCGCCCCTCCGCTCCCCGTCCCCACCCCGTGAGATACCCTGTCTCCGCGCTCGCCCGCTTGCTTAAGATGCCTCTGTTATGTCATCACGGGATGTTGGAGCTAACCTTTAACGCGCGCCCGCTGCTCCCGTGTATTTATAGGGGATGAGCTCAAGAGCTGCGCTCTCCTCTCTGAAAACTTGTGCTCCGGTCCCCGGAAAGCTGTGAGCCTGCTTTCTGCTCTCGCTCGCGCGCCCCTCGGCCTGCGATAGCTCCCTGAAAGCCATGGGGCTGCCCTGGTGTAGAGGCAGCGCGAGGGAGAGGAGAGGCCACGTTTGTGGGCTCACGTTGGTAAGAGAGCGCTGGCTTCCGTCCGGCCCCAACCTGACTATCCCACCCTGAGGGAGCGCCTGCTCTTCCCAGTTCAGGTTAGGGCTCCAGTTCTTGAAAGGAGCACGTGTTTTCTCAGTGCCTGAAGTAGAAGATTCACTGTCTTGCAGATTTCATGCAGAAAATGAGACACTGCTGCCTAACTTTTCTTTGGAAAAAATAGGTATGCCTGGCTTATATTTCACATTTTTGAAGGAGGAAAAATTCATTTATTTACTCCTATTTTTATATTCGTCTTCTCCTTCCCCCCCCCACCCGCCAGAGGCAGACACAGAGAAACATCAAGAGGAAATTCAAAAAGAGAACATATATCTTTCTGTTGCTTTGAGCCTAACTGAAGAAGAGCTAAGGACCTGAGCCAAAGCTCATTGAAATCAAGAGAAAGAGTTGCATTAACTTCAGTGGGCTTTGAATCAGGCCATGGATGAAAATGCAAGATGGACTGTTTCTTCCTCTCTGCCACTTCTGTGCTGGAATAGGCATGTTTTCTGTACACACAGAAATGCTACCACTCTTCGATACTACTCCTTTTTTATTTCATTCATTTTTTTTAAGCAACCTTTTTGTTTTTGCAGCTGCTCTTTCGGATGCTAAATGTTAGTTGTTTGGGATCACTGCAAGTGTCTTTAATTCCTGTTATATTTTTTAAGAAGTATCTGAAACTGTATTTTATAAATTTCCTCTTTCAGTGCTTAATTATATATGAAAAATAGTTTTTACGAAGTTAAGAATACGTGCATGTCCTTACATCAACTTGTTTCTTTCCCCTTCAGAAATCCAGATAGCAAGAAGTGTTTGGCCAAACAGTTTTGGTAAGTGGTTCATTAATTTTTTTTTTTGCTCTCAGTTATTTTACTTACTTGTTTTTCGGTGAGTTTTAGAGTACTGTTCATGAGGTTGCCCAGTAGGAACTGAGTAAATATCTCTTAATGCTGGTGCTATTAATTTGCTCAGGATTTCAATCATATTTAATCTTTTTCCCATGACAGAACAAAAGTGTTGCACTTAACTGTACTTTAATATTGGAAACTAGTGTGTAATTGTAGTAAATGTAGTAAATCACTAAATGTAAAAAACTTTGTGGCTCCTACCTTTTTGTAACCAGAAGTTTTACAAAATCTGAGACCAAGATTAAAATCATAACAGTTTTGTACACCAACTTGTTAATATTAATTAACACTGCTAACAGGAGGTCTTTTAAAGGTCTTTTCTGCTGTCAGCATTGAAGCTTTGTGTTTTCATTCCAAGGCTCGTTGCTTCCAGTCCAGAGTATGAAGTTTGGCAGACCTGGTTTTAGAAGAGATTTAACCCTTCCCTATTAAGAGTTCACTTGATGCTGAGGCTCACTTTTATGGTTTTAGTAGCCACAGTGGATATCTCTTGAGGTAAAAATAAAAAAAAAAAAAAAAGTGTAAGGTGTGCATCAGCCAAATAGAAAAATAAAGTTCTAGCAGGTTTTTAAATGCTAAGTCAGAATGGAGAGAAAAAAAAAAGAAAACCCTGTGTGGTCTGCCCATCATGCAGTCAGTGTATTACCAACAAACTTTATACATGAAGGCATGACAGAATTTCCTTAAGGAGTCTAGGCTGCTTTGGTCGTGGTCTCATATGTACCCACTACACTGTCCAACTGTTCTCCTCCCTTTTTTTTCCATTTCCTTAGATGCACGGAAGTTCACAGACGTCTGCCCTGTATTCAAATTCTGATTCAAATTCAACGTTTAAGCTATTATTTATAAATGTATACTTCCTTACTTTAAAATGTAAAAAATGTAAAAATGTTATATCTCTATCTCATATGTTTGATCAAATAGTAGAACCCTACATTTTAGAGAACAGTATTTTTGGTCATTCTTCTCTAGTAGTAATAAATAAGATTTGTATTTTTCTTCTAAAATTATCTTCAAAATTAAGCTCTTAAAAACACAACAAAAAACAAAGTTCAGTTTGGAAGGGAAAGATTATCATGCCATTCCACATACTTTACTTTGTTTTCAAAAGTCGGATCTTTTCTCCTTACTAGACTGTTTCTCCTTCTAAGCAGTAGCTTGAGACAGGAAACCAGACAGCAGTCTGCCCTGATAAGGGAGAATATTGTCTAATGGAAGTGCCTCAAGATCTTTGCTTTTTCTCTCCCTTAGGTTCAGAATGTAGAACTGAGGATTGAACAGGGTTTACATGAGGTCCATTTTTCCTTGGTAGAAATGACACTTTTTATAAGCACCATAAGGACTTTTACCTAGAATTTTTACATACAAGAAATCCGTTTTCAGACAGGTGGCTTCAAAGACTCTGTAACAGTACTATTATAAATTTCATTGAAATACTGATTAGTCTGCTACACAGCTGATAAATAATTATGTCAAAACAGTTCTAGGTCAAACAGAGTGACATCGGCAAAGTTAGGATGCACAAATTGTGTAAAATACCGGATTTTTCAGCTTGTTTGAAGTTCTGAAAATAGAAAGCTAAAAGATTTTCAAGTCAATAAAAACATAAATAGTCTGAGATTCCTTGCAATGCAGAAAGAACAAAAAAACATTTTGTCACATGAAAGTGGAACATTTAACTGTAGAGGATTTTTTTAAACTAACCATTTTGAGAAAAAGAACTGAAGCTTCTTATTTATAAGCATATTAATCATAGAATAACGTGAGATGGACCTCTTGAGTTCATCTGGTCCAGCCACTCCTCTAGAATGCAACATTGCACTCTCTGGAATTTCTGGATTTATTTTTTTTAAGTAATACAACTCAATGAAATCTAAACAAAGTATTGTTGTTGATCTAAATATTCTTTTTCTTTATGCCTAGCAAGTAAAGCTTCTAGCTGAAAAATGTTGCCTTAGTATCATCTTCTTTTTACTCAATGTCCTAACGTCTTCAACAGCTATTACCATTTCCCAGTGGAAATCCAGCAAATAAACCAGCAGAGAAGGCTACTGAGTAATAAAGCTTTTTCTTGGTGTACTAGTTCTTAATAATTTTCCCGCTAGCGTTCTTTGTGGGCTGATCCATTCCATTCCCAGGCCTTCATTCCTTTCCCAGCTCTTGCTTTCTTTGCCTGAATCAAACTGCTGTGCTGAACTTGAGAGTTTCTTTGCCTGCTGCTATTTTGAGGCCCAGTGTAGCTAAGCGCTTGCTTACTTCCCGTTAGTCAATGGAACTTTTTTGCTGACTCGGGTCTTGATGAGCAACTGGTACTGTAAGTCCAAACAAATCTTGTCGCTAGCTCTGGGAAACTCATCTTCTACCCCTTCCTGGGAGTCCTGTTCTCCGAAACTCATTTTTCTCTGTCAAACTGCCTTTCGAGGTTGCATTGGAGAAGATTCCTCACCCAGGTCCAAAAAGCCTCCCCGCCCTTTGGATTTCATCACTGGAGTCTGCTGATATTATCACTTCTCCTTAACATCAGAGGAAGTTTGACTTGAGGCTCACAGAAGAAGTAATAGTTTCAGAACAACGGAGTAAGTTGCAAAGGGCTTGAGCCGAAGAGCTTTGGCCACATGACTTGTATTGGATGCTAGATACCAGCAATGCTGCAAACACTGCAGTGTCTTTGTGGAGGGCGCTCATGCAGGGCTAGTTTAGCAGATGTCATTACATTATTTTGTAATTAGGCCAACAAAAACAATACTACTTTGAAGCTTCTAAGCCAAGCCTCACTGTACCATAGGGCAACACTCCTTGCTTCCCCAGGCACAAGGATTGAGAAAGCAAGCTCCATGCATGGTTTTATGCAGGAGAGGAGAGGGGCAGAAGTTATGGTCACCACCACTCTCTCTGTCCACAGCAATGGTATCAGGTCTCTAACTGCTCTTCCAGGCGTTTAGTGAGAGCTGTATGCTAGAGGGAGGATTTGTGCTTGTTGGATGTGCACAGTCAGGATGGGCCCTCCACCCCACCCTTTCCTTTCATAACAGGTCTTCAGAGTTGTTGGACCTTGAAGGTAGGTGCACTGAGCAGCCTGCAGTAGCTGCATTGTGGTTGCTCTTCTGCAGCTGTTCTGCACTACAGATGTACAGTGTGGGGCCCTTCTTTAGCTGCTTGGCTCATTTCATCCAGAGTAAGTAATCTGTGCAAAACCTCATTGTCAGATTACATTAAGTACCTTTAAGCTTTCATTTACTTATATCTATCACACCATACCATACCAGGGACTTAATATCAATGAGTCTCCGGTCCAGACAGGAAAATGAACTATTCTGAAATGAAACATTCCTTTTGGAAGGGATAATTTACTGCATATTGGATCATCTTTAAATGGGTAGTTCCTTTAATTAGTAAGGGGCAGAGTTTGTATTTTTCTGGCTTACTGTCTTCGCTAGACTTCAGCTCCGAAAATACTGAGGGACTTTGCCTGGACTTTACCTTGCACCTGTCCTTATTTGCATACAAAAACCAATTGCTTCATTTGTCTTTCTGAAGTACAGGGTGTGAGCAAAATCTTATCAAAAGCCGTGTCCTGTTTGGACAAGTTGGACTGCTTTGGCAGAGATCCACAGGGTGGAGTGAATGGGAGGAGGCAAGAAAGTAAAACTGGGTGGCTTGTTAGCAGAAAGAGAGAGAAGGCGAGCAAAAAAAAAAAAAAAAAAAAAGAGGGTGGAATGTTTGCCTGCTGGATTGCAGTTAATTATTTAGTTTCAGATTACGTGCATTTCAAATTCTTTTAACCCACATTAAAAAAAAACTTTTAATGTAAAATAGTTTATACAATACGCCAAAGACAAAGGCCCTATTTTTTAGTGGACTTAATATAAATATGTTGTTGTCTTTCCACTGCTTTCTTCAGGGTACCTCAGGAATGAGAGTTGTTATTTCAATTTTCCAGAAATTAATTGTATTTACTAAACAATTTATGGACTTTCAAACAAGTGTGTTATGAAATCAGTGTGTACAGTAGAACCCAACTGTTTTTCATTCCTCTGCGATAGAAACAGATAAGACTATTTACCTTCCTTACTGCCCCCTTCTCAAATATTTAGGAGGGAGAGATTGGGAGTTTTTGGATTAGTAGGCATGGTTTTTTTATTGGAAGTAGCATGCTTTATTTGTGTGAGTGCGTGAGTGTGCAGACACTCGCTTGCTTGTGAATGAGGTCCAAGCGATCCATTTGCAGCATTCTGTTTAAACACAAAGGAGATTGTTTCATGAGTTTATTTGCAGTCTTGGGAAAGTGTCATTCTGAGCTAAATTTTAAATGCCAGACCCACAGCTGGTTTAGAGTGACCCTGTAGCAACTGTAGCAGATTCCACAAGGTATGGATCTGACCCTCCACTCTGAACCTGACAGGACCAAGAGTCATACATTAATTCATTTTCCTTCCTCGAAAATCTGTTTCCACTTGCTGTCTAACTGGGAAAAGAAACCTACTTCTTAAGAGTAATGCACGTTAAAGGAATGCTCAGTTTCTGTACTATGAATCAGCAGTAAAAGTAACGTTTTCCTCTACTGTTCTTAGATGACTGCATCTGAGAAAGATTAAGAACTATTTTTTCACCTTTACTCAGTGCAATACACTTTCTATTTTCAATGTCAGTCTGACTCCTGCACAGTAATTTAGAGCCCTCTCAAGAAACACTCAAATGTGTAACATGACATGTGAAACGCATGTCAAGTGTCTTTCACACACTTTCTTGGAGAAAAAGGAGAAAAGAAATAACTCTTGAATTGAAGAAAATCCAAATGTAAAACCACAAAAATGACAAAAAGAAAAACCTGGGAGCATGATGGCTTACTTAGAACTACTTTCTTTCTTTCTTCCTTTCAAATGACTAAAATAGTCGGTGTGCCACTTTGTCTATGCACATTTAAGCTAAAAATTGAAAGTTGCTGGAAAGCTGATAGCAAGCAGTTACATATTCTTATATGGAGGTCTGAAATGTGGCATTTTAATGTAAGCGGTTTTTTTATATCTGAAAGTACTGCTGTTTTCTGTTTTCATTATGTGAATGTGTGTGGGAACATGTGCAAATGATACGTAGATACACACATGTGCACTTATTGCATAGATATGTGGATATATTTTGTGACAACAGTCCTCTGAAATGTTAAATCCATCTATGTGAAATGTTAAAAACTTGATAACCACTCAAATAAAAATAATATAGTTCATTCTCAACTTTCTCACAAACATGCTTAATGTATTTATAAAATTACCACAATTTTTAGCAAATAGTATCATCTTACGAAATATTTCTAAAATAAAGCCATAATTTAAATTTAAACTGGAACTCTCATTGAGCTGCTCTTTTTGTTTCACTTTATTTTTGCAGTTTGTTTTTATCTTTGACTTTTGTTAGAAGAGTTATGAAGATACTTTCATTTACTTTTTAGGAATTAAACAGGTTTATTTCCAGTATTCAAAAAGTATACTGTTGCAATATTTTTCCATAAGTCATCAAGCTTTGTTCACACACACAAATCCATGATAGACTTAAAACAGCTCATGCCGCCTTGCTTTGGAAGGTCTTATCCATTTCTTACCTATAGACGCAAATGATAGTTAAATATTGCAAGATTGTTCATTAGTGTAGGCTTATTAGAATTGTTCTAATTTGAAGCAGGTACATCTTAAACGTTTAATTTAAATCTCTGGGTAAATTTTCTGGCCACAGTTATAAGTATTTTGTTGCGCCTTCAGCCTGCTTCGGTAGGGTGAAGCAGTCCCGGCGGGGTGGTGTGGTTGTATTCGTTTATTGCCAGTGCCATCTACTGGTCTGAACCGAATTTGTGTAATGTCTTGTCCTCGCATCTTACAGAGGTCATACCACTTCTAGGCAGCGCTCTGCAGGGTATAGTGTGTGATCAGAACTTGCTCAGAGAATACATAATCCCAAGTCGTTTATAAAAGCTTTATCAACACCTAAATGTCATTGAGAACAGTGCTCCTTTGCCTCTCTTGCCTTTACTCTGTACTCTTGCTGGCCCACCCCAGAGGAACTGTCTCCTCCTCCTCTCCTTCATGGTGTCTTTCCGAGTTGACCACAGCAAATGTGCAATATGACAGTAAAGCTCTAACGTGCTTTCTGCTAAATCCTTTTACCTCGGACAGTTCGGAATAAGCTAGAATTGGACAAGCAGAAAAGAATAGAAAAAACACAGAAACTGCACAGAATACAGTCCAGGTTTTTTTGAAGTGTTGGGTTTGCACAGTTAGCCCAGATGGTTGTTGCGTTGTCAGTAAATTTGTTCCTTCAGGCAAATAACTGATGTGTCGCTTATGGAAAGCTGCTGTAGCATATCAAATGCACCTCTCCAGATTAGTCCTAATTTTTGATCTCCTTTCTTTTGCATTGATTTCAGTGTCATTGTACCTGATAGTTTCAACTTTTCTGCCTGGACTCTGAGGAGAGGGACAGCCTCTCCGGAATCAGTTCATTGTATTATCAGCTGAGCAAGATTGTTCTGAAGTTGTAGTATTGATGAAAAATGCATGGTCTAAACCATGATGGGTTGCTTTCCACACTGACAGCTAGTGAAAGTTGAGAATACTGTCATCTTGATGGGCTGGTGTGCACAGTAAAATCTCAAATTAACTTCTCTTAAAGACAGCAGATGTCCCTTGACTTCAGTGGCAATTGGGAAAGAATAAAGTTGTGATAACTAAAATATTTTAAATGAAACAATGTCAAATATTTTAAAAGCTTGTCAAATATGTAAAAAGCTATGTTATATATGGATAAATATTCAGTCTGACAAAAAAATAAGTTCTCTCCAATTCAGAAAGTTGATTCTGGGCTTTCCTGCAGCTTTCTAAAACGTTGTCTTTCCCTTTTAGACCAGGGCATCAGAGGTGTCAGGACAGCTGAATAAAAAAGATGCTAATGTTTGACCCAGTCCCTATCAAACAAGAGGCCATGGAACCTGTTTCAGTGGTAAGACTTTTAAAATATTTTAACTGTTGTGATCACTCTATAGTTTTCCACCTCTAAGTTCATGTCAAGATTCGTGTAAGTGTTGGACTACTCTAAGTACTGCTTTGAAGCTATATTTTGCTTTTAGGACGATCGGAGCCGTATTCTAGGAAATCTTTTTCAGTAGTTTATGAACTCCCTAAAGTCGGTAAAGGATGTGCTCCATTTCCTCTGCCACTGCTCCCATCCCCAGAGCAGGGGGGAGAGCACCCAAGCACTCCTCAACCATTGTGACTGAAAAAGAAAGTAATGGCTTTCTGCTGGGTAAGCTGGGCAAATTACTTTACCGTGAGATCAGACGAGAAGCAGGGAAGTGGAGGAGGAACGGGGGAAAACAGAGGAAGGTAGACCTTTTTTTTTTTTTTTTTTGATTGGGTTAATTTTCATCACCTTGATGTACAGGCTCAGCTCAGCACCGAGTCTGATAAGGAAGAGTGACAGGAGCTTGTAGCTGGGAAGGGGACTGTGTGGCAGTTTAGGCTGCCAGGGAAATACTGCCTTAGGAAGCAGTCTCACCTATACTTCGTCTATTCAGCGTCCCAAAAAGGGAAGATTCTGGTTTTTGTTCCCTCCCTTCCAGCTTTGTGCTCCCACTGTCTCTTTTGCATGAGGTCTAGCAATTGGGTGGGGGCAGAATGATGTGGATCATTTGCCTCAGCTCATTGAATGGTCAGAATTGCTAACCCACCAAAAAAAACCCCTATTTTTTTTGTCAGATCAGGAAGCTGATCTGACTTGTTCTGCACCAACTTAACGCTAGAGCAGTGGCGGGGGGAAGGGAGAGGGAACAGGACCTCCAGCTTTCAGCAGCAGCCTGCGATTAGATCAGATTACAAGTAACATGAAACTGCACCGGTAGAAAAGCTGATCAATTAGTAGTGTGAAGTCAGTGTGCATAAATTAGAGTGCATTGAATCCATGCTCTGAATGCATCTTTCAGGGAAAAGTTTGCTTCCTGCTTTATTGAAAATGTAGAATAATTGCCATAAAATTAAATGCGTCTCTAAACAGTCTGATTTCTTTGGTGCTATTAAGAACACTTGTTGATTGTTAAATTTAATATAAATTTTGAAATTACAGTTTGACTCTCCTGAGGTTTAGTTCTAAGCAATGATAGAAAAATAATCAGCTTATCGCTGCAGGCGTAAGTGTATTCTTATATATTCTTATTAATATAAACAGTGATTATCTAAGGTTATTTAAGGATATGTAATTGTTTTCATCAGTGGCAGAAGATAGGCCACTTCCACAACAAAAGAGCTATCAGTACACTAATGACAGAAAAGCACTATAGAGAGGCTGTGAGCTGTCCTTTGCGTGCATCTGCCTTCATCTCCCAAAGAAGGCTCTGCAGCAGCTTAGGATGGTGCACACGAGAGACAAGATCCTGCCCCAGACAGCCACGTACTTCTGCAAAATGGACAGAGTCAGTCCTTCAAACAGATGACCAGGGAAGGCACGAGCAGTCCTTTCACCAGAATGGAGGATGAAGGAGAAATTGTATATAGTGGGTGCTACGTACGGATGTGTGATATCTTCCACATGTTGGACCTGTGGAGTTGTCTTACATATTATTATACCCCTGACCTATGATACTATGGAAAACGTTTTACTAAATGTGTATGCTTTCCTTTTGCTTATTGCATAATGTGAAATAAAAGCAGGAAAGGAGAAACTGGGGGACTATTTAGATTCTTTCCTGAGGAAGTTCAGAGGAAGGGACGCTGTTTGAGTGAGGTTCCCCTCATGAAGGTTACTCAGTTTTTCCTCAGGCTGTGTTTGTTGCAGCTCCTGTGCATACGCTGGCTGTTTCACCCGAGCCATTGAGGTCCTGGCTGCCCCTGCGTTTCTTGGTGACGTGGTTCCCGTGGAGCCTGGCTGCCAAGGACCGCTCAGCAGAAGCTGCTCTGCAAACATCTTTAAAGGGAGGAAGGAGATCTTGGTACAGGGAGAACGCAGCAAAGGGTGACAGCCACCAAGCGTGTTAGTTTTCTTGACCTTGTCTTGAGGAGGCATCAGTGCGATATTTTTTAGAGGTGCTGAGCGCGCTATTCAGTTCACTGTGGGCTAACATAGCTAAAAAGCCTTTTAAAATCAGGAATTGTTTGTATTGTGTCTGTCATTTTGATAATATCGTTAGAGGTCAAACAAAACAAAGCTCCTTAGGAATGATTAGTTATTTTACCTGGTAGGTACAAAACCTGTCTTTAAAAAAAACCCCACTGGTTGGGGTGGGAGATGCAAACAAATTATAGTTTTGACACCACCATGTTTCAGGGCGTGTGGTTGAAAGGATGAACTAAACTTCTCAAATGACTGAAGCTTGCACCCAGAGTATTTCATCACTCTACCAACAGCTCATTCTGTTTATTAAATTGAACTATCAAGCATATTTTATGATAATTCTTAAAGAAATAGTGACAGAGTCATCTCAGTCCTACCTAAGTATTTGCTGTGAGAACTTTTTTAAAATTTGGACAAATACCAGTGACCGTTCAATCCCAGAAGTTGCTTTTTTATGTGTTACCGTCTTTCTTTATGAATTGAAATAGCAGTTTTTTTCTGCCCTTAAGTCAGTCCCCAAAACAGTTTGCTTCATCCCTTTTTTAAGGCAGAGTGGTATGTGCTGCATGAGAGGCTGAGTAACTAGTGTAATTGGAGTATGAATTTCACAAGGTGAGACTGTTTTTTTCATGTATTATCTACCACTTGAGTTAAACCCTATTCATTTTTCTTATGTGATACTGATTTGACAACTTGTACAAGTAGGTAAGGTGGATCATCATCTGTTTTTGCAAGAAGCTGGTTAGACTTTTGAAGTAAAATGCATTGGATTTTGTAGTTTATAAAAAACTTGATGAATTGCTTCAAAATCTGCTAGCCTGTAAAACAAAAAAGATGTTTCCCTGTGACAGTTTTAACAGAACTTAGCAAGTTATATCAGATCTGTGCTTCATTGGTGCTTTGTAGTGTTGCCTTATGGAAGCAGCAGTCTTCTGGGTGGTGAAAGGTATGCTTTTGACGTATTTGGCCAGTCTTTACTCTTGACAGGATTGTCAAGAAGAAAAGCACGGTGATTCCTTCCCTTTTCTGAATTACGGATTTAATTGCGTGAACCACCTGGCTGTTTTCAAGAGATGCCTCAAAAATACTAGAAATTGCTTGAATTTATTTTCCACTCTTTGTGGATTCAGTGCTGGACAAGCAGTAAGGAAAAGGAAATGAACTGCTGAGTAAAGTCTAGTTGGAGACTGTACAGGAATATGTCCTGAAATACAATCCTGCATCTTCATAATGATCTACTGCAGTGACATACTGTTACACACAAGGATTTTTCATCAAAGGAGAATTTATAGGCAAGTGGGAATTTGATGTTTTTTGTTTTAAATCCAAGTCAAACCAAACTCCTACATGTAGTGCGAATTCCCACAGTAGACACCCAAGGGAAATGTGTCAGCTTACGTGTTTTGGGCAAACAGCAACAATACCTAGTTTTACATTGTTCCACCAGAATACTTCTAATCAATGCTGAACATTTAGTATTGCTCATGTATGATGCTTCATCCTGTTGCAAATCGGGAGCAGATCTAGTGAGGATGGAAAGCTGCATGGCTGCAAGCTTGCTGGATGACAAACACCGCACCAGTCAGTGTTAACAGATACAAAGAGGCAAAAAACTCCTTCCCTTCTCTCTCCCTTCCTGCCCTGCGTAAATGGTACGGGACATTCTATAAAAACACAGCCTCGTCTGTGTCTTAATACGAGTTAACTGTTAACCTCACTGTCTGATCGTCATTTGATCTGCTGACTTCGCTGAGACTCTTGGCCTCAGCCAGACCGGAGGTCAGGCTCTGCTCTGCTCTGTGGCCATGGCCAAGCCGAATCTTTCACGTGCAGTCAGGAGTCTCCCAAAATAGGTGATGAGCCACGAGGCAAGTTCCAGGACTGGCAAAAAAGGACTGTTCTTGCAAATATGCTCCTGGTTGCTGCAGTCAGTGGCTTTTAGAAAACCAAGTAGCTGCAGGCAGTTGTTCTTTTTTGTTTCTTATCACTGACCCTTCCAGCTTAGAGAGAGACAGTGAAGCCTCCCTTGCTCTCCCAGTCCATATGCCCAGAGCGGGACTGTCCCCTTCCCCAGCACAGGGAGGGGAAGTGACTTACTGAAGTTGAAAGCAGCACTTCATATCAACTTAATAGCGACTGCTGTGTCCCAGGGAGCTAGAAACCAAAGCCTGGCTACACTAAAAGACACGGGAAGCTTAATGACAGGATTGGTGAGATAGATCTGGAAGTGGCTTATTCCAAACTAACGGAGGGGTTTCAACCACCCTTCACTGATGGTGCAGCAAAAGTGTTTTCTGCCCAGTACGCAGAATGTTTAATGTGTCACCTCGCTGACAGCAGGTAGTCTCCTTTTGATTATTCTAGGGTCCTTCTCGTCTGTTTCACCATTTCTAGTGCCAATAAAAATTTGGAAAATTCATAATTATGTGCATAAATCAATTCCAGAAATTCATTTGTTTTTTTTTCTCTTCACAAAAGTGCAAGAGGCAGGAGGTGGTGGTCTTTCTGCCAATTCAGATTGTAAAATTTTCCTGTTTATTCCTATAAAGAAAATAATCTGTGGCCCCACATTTTTGTATCATGACTTTATCTACTGTTCAAACAGAAACATGGCAATTAAAAACTCAGAAGGAAGAAAAGCTTAGAAAAATTATTCAGCTTTTGCAAACTACAACAAAAAAAAGTGACGTATATTAAATTTGTGCCAGCTTAGTTACAACAATGAAATCTTTTTATGCAAAATAATGCAAGGTGTATGGGGTAATACCAGGTCCCTAAGATAATCACTTTTTTAAAACGTAATTGCTCTCTTCCTAATTCTTGAAAAGTATTTCTTGCTTGTCTAAATTTATTTTACTTAAGTTTTCCATTACACAATATTTTAGTAGTTTGATATTTTTCCAACACAAGTTTAATGTTACTTGAAGAACTGAAAGAGAATAACTGTTTTAATAGTAAGGGCGCAGCTTGGAGATGCTTCATGCTTTAGTAGACTCAACTTACTAAAAACATTCCTGGAGATTCAGATTGCACAGTCTTTTTCCTTTCTAGTGTTCTTTACGTCTTTCTAAACTGTAGTTTGCAGAGGAGCGAACTTGTTAAAAAGTGCAAGATTTATAAGGCCCTTGTTGTGCACGATTCATGTGGGCTGTGGTACACCTAAAACTATTTAGATAACATCCGTTTATTATTCTCAGATAATTCTTATTTGAATATAAGAGCACTTCAACTGGATGAAAAGTGCACATTCACCTACACTTGGGAAATGCTTTACAAAATGAAAGAAGTGTTTGTATATAGTGACCTTGTGACCATCCCTGACCAACTTGCAAAATGGTAAATACGCTAATGCTTGGTTGTACTATGGAACGCTTACACAGTTTGCTGAAGCTAAGCAGACTTTGTACTCCAAACCAATAACACCAGTTTTAGCAGAAGTACTTAATATCTCTTACGCGTTTAGTGTCTGAATTTTTGCTTACACCCATAACTTGGATCAGGTTTAGTAGATATTAAATACTGTTAAATATTAAACTCCTATCAATATTCAGTGGCTTTGATCGCTTAGAATGCTAATAATTTCGTGATTGCCTGGCTCATTATTGCTGGCAAGTTCCTACAAGTTGTTTCACTCAGGACCGCTTGCAGTAAGGACATGTTAGTAGAATTCTGAGTAACCAGTTACTATCAAAGATGGACGTTTTCACAGACTGAATTTGCAAGAATAGTAAAAAAAAAAAACTTATTAATTAAGATTTCAGAGTTTTTAATGTAATATTTACTATTTGAAGAAATAATTTTTAAAAAAGCTTTATTACTGTCCGCCTAGTTCTCTGAAGTGTCGTTTTTGTATGCTGCTTCGCTTGAAATGAATGTTTAGTTGTCAGTATTTTATGGAATAGGTGACTCCGCTGTGTCATTGTTTCTCATCGCAGTAGTATGAATCAACAGAAAAGTTTATCATTTTTTAAACCCGCATAGGACAGTTTCAAACAATAATGGGAAAAAGACAAATACATTTATGTTATTTTGCACTAATAATTCCAGTTAACCTTGATATTTAAAATCAACTAAATGTCCCTCACAGGGAAGACAGAGGTAAGAAACTACGATGATTTACAGCTGGAAGTTTTCATCTCAAGAAAAAATATTTAGAAATGTCATGGAAATGATTGTATAAAAATACAATAGCTTTATACTTCTAATCTGTGTCTCTTTCTACCATTTTGAAGGGTTTTTTTTCATCCCACTTTCCTGAGTCTATTTGGCACTAAAGAATTAAGATGTCTTTGACTGTTGGCATGAAACTGCTTAGCCTTAATGTGAGGCTTTACTTATTCAGGATCCAAAGATAGCATTTTATTTCATAAAATTTACAAAATGTAGAGCTAAAAACAAACTGAGTTGTGTGTACTGTGTCTTTCTACTATGTTAGAACAGCACGCCAGCTTCTACAGTAAGTTATCTGTTAGTAGAAGAATTCAGTTTTAAATATCTTTTAAAAGCAAAATTGATCTGGACAGTCATTTAGTAATACACTCTGCAATGTATGCTAATATTTTTTGGCTTACAGAAATTATTTCTACTAAAATGGGGAGCTCATCATTTAGGTTAAGATTAGCTTTAGGCTTCGTATGATCTTGTCATGAGAATTTTTAGCTACTGCTAATTAACAGGAATATTCATCCAGCACTCCAAATCTTTATTCTTTCTACTGGGTTACTCAGTTTCCAAAGTCAGAATGTCTCTATCTTTCTCAAGATCTTATCTTTCTCAAAAAAAAAAAAATCTTGTTTGTAATTTACCTATTGTACTCTAATTCTTTCTCACCTGCTGCTCATATAGTTCACTTGTATAATTTTTACTGCTCGTAGACTTCAGAGACATAATTTCTTGTTTTAGTGAAGGTTTTGAAGTTTTGTTGTACAATTACTTCAGCAACTGATCAACTTGATCAATTATTTGTTCAACTGATTGAGATTTGTTACTTCTAAGTCCAGTTTAGTTGCTGTCTTGCTTGACTTCATGTTCTCAGTTTGTTCTTCTGTACTGTGCGTAGTACCATGTGTCCACCAGGTCCGTTAAATATGTGCAGCTTACTGTATGAAAAACACTTTTTTAAGAGAGAAAGAGTTGAGTATGCCTTGAGAAGTTGTTTTCATCATTTGTCATATGTTGCTTCTGAAACAGAGAATCAGTTTCAGTGAATAACTTTCTTTGCGCTAAATATACTTTATTTAATATACTTTTATTTTAAAAGTACTTTAAAGTGCTTTCTTGAAACCTTTTCTTTTTGCCTCAGTGTTATGAACCATCGTTCATTTTCAGAAGCAATTGTGTGTGTGCATGTGTTGATTTATTATTTGATTTTTTCCCCCTTTTTTCCCACTCCTCCTGACAGTCATACCCGTCCAATTACATGGACCAAATAAAGCCAAACAAATACAGCGTCATTTATTCTACGTCGAGCATGTTGCACAATAAATTCTACTCAAATGCCGAAGGACTATCAAACGGGATCCAACTGGAGCCAGTAGACCTTACGGTGAACAAGCGAAGCTCACCACCTTCAACTGGAAGTTCTCCTTCCCCTCTGAAATTTCAGACTGTACATAGGAGAGCTTCGCCTGGACTGGCTCTGTCCTCCCCCAGCTCACCTATCAGTAAATTCACACCGTCGCCCCCAGGAGTACAGCCTCTTTCCATGCCGATAACCATCCCCCCCGTCATGGCCGCTGCTCTGTCACGCCCCGGCCTGAGGAGCCCCGGACTGCTCCCAGTTATCCAGCCTGTCGTGGTCCAGCCTGTCCCTTTCATGTATGCGCCTCACCTCCAGCAGCCGATCATGGTGTCCACGGTGCTTGCGGATGAGATGGAGAATCCAAGCAGCATGCAAGGTGGGTGTTGCTGGAGTTTTGCTTTTATGCCAGCTCATCCTGGGAAAATAACTGCATATTCTGGCAGCTATTAGCGCGTTTTTTGCATTTTAGGAAGTGGAGACATTATTCCTTTTATGTTCTTTTAAAATATGCGTGCATAAAAACACTAAATATTTTCCCAGCTTACCAAAGTCATATTTTGTTCTGCTTTATACCTGCACAAAGCTGTTTATCTTAGTAGACCTACTGAGATTTGAACTGATGAAAATGGGAATAGATTTGTTTTGAATTCTAATTCATCAGGAGATAGACTAAACGCTGGAAGGTCTTGTATTTTAATATAAATTGTGGCACTAAATATAAAGTGGCTGGGGGATTGTTTTGGTTTTAACTGTAGATTTTTAGCATACAAGTCAGATTTTTCATCTCTTGTCTTCCTTTTCCTACCGTCCCCCACACAGTGCCTGTCATTGAGTCTTACGAGAAGCCTACACTGAAGAAAACAATTAAAGTAGAACCAGGAAGTGAACCATCCAAGACTGACTTCTATCCTGAACAGATGTCACCTCCAGTGATGACCTCATTGTCTCCCCAGCAAGTAATGCTGCAAGAGTAAGTAGCTAGCAATAGTAGCTAGCAGAGGAGTGAAAAGAAGTTCATTAGGGTGGCTACTAATTTTGGGGGGAGGGGGAAGTTGCTGTGTTTTATTAGAACATGTGACAAAATAGCAAAAAAATGAAGCATTAGTTGCAGCTGATCTCAATGAATATGTTAGTCTTTCCTCCCCCAGTTGCCACTGAGATGTGATTTCAACTTTTTAGCAATATGAGTGTTGATATGTATTTATACATAGCAAGCATGTAGATCTGTCATACTCACGTAAGGCATTTCTGAAGTAATAATAGACCCAGTCCTACAATCCACTGAAAGCAGAATTCCCAATAAGCCAGTGCTACCTCTTTATGAAAAACCAGCAGCAAGCTGGAAAAATCCTGTAAGGACATTTCATAACTGCTATCTGTATTTATATTGCCTGAAATATTTCTTAAAAAAAATACTCTTATGACTTTTTTTTTCCTTGGTGGGCCACTCTATCTTTTAGCAAGCTTTGGCTACTCAGTGGAAAGAAACCCTTCAGGCCTACAATTTCTTTATATAACCAGTGAAATTTCATGTTTTCTTGAAACTGCTGTTCCATGGATGTTTCTTCTAGCAGCCTAAGTAGTTCCTGCAGCGCCCTCCCCTCCACAGACCTTGTTTCCACCCCAGGACCAACTCATTTGCACTGGCGCACTTGTTACTGAGGCCACTTCATGAGCTGGATAGCAGAACTAGTCAGGGTTAAAACAGTCCTATTTATAGAAAGCAGAGCAAGAACTAGAAACAAGAAGCAAGGTCAAGGGCAGAAACTTTTTAATTGGAAAAATTAAAAGTACCTCAGGAAGTACCTGAGGAACCATGATCACCCCTCCATTTCCTGATTTCTTAGGGAAGATTCTGAAAATTTCTGCCAAAGTAATGGAATGGCCTGGCGTCTGGCCCATCCTCCTGCCAAAGTGGCAGGGGCGGCGGCTGCTGGAGCAGCTCTAGCAGGAGCTGGAGCAGGAAACTGAGCAGCGCTCATGACACGTGACCTCCAGATCCATTTCTTTCCCTTCTTTCTTCCGCTCACCATCACCGTCGGAGCAGTTATATGCGGCCTCACCTCCTAGAGTGAGGAGGAAGGACCCAAACAAGCGTGTGAGTGTGGGAACATGGGGTGATTCAGAGAAAGAAAGCGTGCAGTTGGCAGTCCCGTGCGTTCCCTTCGGAAGGGAGCCCTTTCCTTCCACCAGCATCTCCCAGTGACGAGGTGCACTGCAGTACCAGAGCTAACGGCCCTTTTGTAGGTAGCCCTTCTGGTCTTCAGGTCTCCAGCCAGGTTATGTGGGTTCCAGCCTGCAGTCTCTTTGCAATCAGCTGTTACTCCATTTAGTTCAGGACTTGCACCTTTTCTGCCTCTCAGAGAAAATGCCAGAGTTAACCACTTGCTGGCTTGCTTTCGTAAAGCGGATTATTTAAAAATAACCTTATACGTTTTATTACAATAAATATATAACAAATTAGTGAGCATCTGTGTTTACTAGGTGATCACTTATCTTCTGTAATGGACCTGCCACACACAGCAGTCAGGTCTGCATGCACTTGGAACTAGCTTCGCCTAGGTCAGGACTATCAAACGCTACAGTTTATTTTGGTTCTTTGTTAGGCCTGTTTAACAAGAGCAAACCAGTAAGTGCTGTTCTTGGCTTATACCACACCCTTCCTCCAGGGTTGAGACTTGTGCAGACTCCACCTGCATTACTGATTTGCTTTAATTATTTCTCAGTGAGTCCAGTTTCCACAGGAAACCCATCCATTGAATGAGGAACACAAATCTGGCATATCTTGTGGGCAGCAGCACTGTTACAAAAGCCTTTGAATGGTCCATCTTTCCAAAGCACCTCCTCTGCCTGGCCAGTGTACAGGTGTTAGGTTTATGGAGATGCTGCCGTCACGTTGGAATGGCTTACGTTGCTTCCTAGCTGGCCTGGAGAGCTGCAGTTCTCGCTCGTTCCTGAAGCGAGCCCTTTTGAGTCCAAACTCCGCTGTTGATCTACAACAAGCAGATTGTAGATGGTAATCTTTATCTTTTTATCATCTAAAAAGGACATAAATTACTCAAGTTACAGCATCACAGGATTAGAGCTTGGAAAATTTCCTGTTGTCTCACAGCTTCATCAGCCTGTTGTCTCTGCATGACGAGCCTTAGTTAGGCAATGTTTTTTTTATCATTTTCCATAGGTTCCAGGTTCCCCAAGTGCATTATTCAAACACATAAGGAAGCCACGTTAAGGAGGCGTAGGAAACCCTCAGTCTCAGTTTTAAGCAACTGATACTAAACTAGCATTAGTACACACTACATATGCATTATGTATATAATGTTGATGGCATTTCTGTAGGGATTCTTGCTGGACTTTCTGACATGCCTGATAATTGACATAACTGTGCAGTTTTTTCTAAAATGAAACCTCAGGTAATGATCCCTCTGACCAAATACAAGAAGCATCTTTAATGTTGTATTTTCTTGCAAGTGTAAGTCAAAGTCAGACTCTTGCTGCCAACATAGCGTGATGTATTGGTGAAGGAGGAGGAGAAGTTGCTCGAGTAAATCATAGCATGATTTTTGGAAAGACATTGTTAACTTCTTTTTAAAATGATGCTCACATGGTTAGCGTTGCATGAATTTGCATCTAGTTGTGTAGAAGGAATGGAACTGTGAAGAGTTAGGAATGTACTTTTATTATTGGACCTTTTTTAATGTTTACCTTTGATTTTTGACACCACCTTACCGATTTTTTTTAAGCTGCCACCCCCTATCTGTTTATTGGTAAAATTCTGTAGTCTTACCGACCACCTTTCCTCTAAAGGGAAAATGAGACAGAGGTGAATTCTTAGTGCTTTATTTACACGCACTTAGATCAAAAACCATCACAAGTAATATAGCGCCAATATTCCTTTTCTCCATTTTTCAAGAAGTTACTGTCTCCAAAACTAGCCTCCATATGTAGAGATCAAAAAACCAAATTTGCTGGCTGCTCCAAGCCAGTGCTTCTTCAGAAAGTAGTAGGCAACAGTGTTACAACTGTGCACTGCTTCAGAGAAGCATTTATTTAGAAGGTAAAATCCTGCCTTTCTTATTTAAGAATATGTACATACATGTCACCATCTGGGGTTTCCTGCCATCACAGTACTTGTAGCTACGTTTTCTGTGTGCTTGAAGAGTACATACCTACCATCACTCGACAGTCACAGAAACGTCCAAGAAAGAGAATCTGGCTCCCAGTTTGAAACTTGTGACTCTGATAGTAGAATGAATAACAGACTAGCAGAAAGAAACTTTTCCCACATCAGTAAGTGCCATCCTGCTGCTGTGGAGAGTAATAGAAAGCATTTTTCTGTTTAAATCGTATATGAGATCTTCTTTGTTGTGCCTTTTTTTTTTTTTTTAAACCAGAGGGCCTTGAGCACACGTGCCTTTGATTTTGCTGAAAGGAAGGAATTCAAAATTTCTGAAAATTAGGTCCTAAAGAAACTTGATTTAAGCTTCAGTTAAACATAAGTGTTACTGAATGTAATTGGATCAGTAAGAAGTGTGAAATATAGCAGCTGAGAAAACACTGGAATTCTAGAAAGCTTATTTCTATCACATGGAAGAGCTGTTTTACAACAGGGAATGCAATACCTGCACATGATATATTATGTTTCAGTTGAAAGCTAAAAAATATCTTAAAGTGCTAATACACAGTTGAAAAATATGCCTTTGTGAAGCTGTAAGATTTGTAATGCCTCTTATGTTTTTGAGAAACCTTTTTGCTTCCTTTTTCTAACATTGACAGTGAAGAAAGAGTCAAGGTTGTACCCAGTTCTGAAGCCAGGGTGTTGTTTGAACCTAAATATCCACGCTTACTGACATCTTTTAAAATACGGGATGCGTTTCCACATGTGTGGATGTTTGTGTTTTTATGTATTACAGAAATCTGTAGGTAGGTAGTCATATAGGTGTCTCACCTGCACTGCACCTGTGGGCTTCAAGGCAAAAAGTGATGTTTATGAAGGTGGAGAGGCCACTTCAGACATCCTGTGGGTGCGTCACACAGGCTGAACTCTACTTTTAGGAATCGGCGTCAGTGGTGCAGGGAGGCCGCACCCTCCTGCCAGCCCCAAACAGGAAATTCTTAATTACTCGCAAAAGGAGTGGCTGGAACAATAAAGTGCTGCTTTGAAAGCCTAAAGATACGATTTCTTTAATAATATGGGAAGGCTGTTTCCAGTTACAAACATATTAATTTGGGAAACCTGGGTTTGCTTGAGCAACAAGAATTGGAGGATTTTTTCCCTTTTAAGTTTAAAAAATGATGACAAAACTTATGATCAGTAAAAATGGCTGTATCGTGCCACAAAGTGAGTAAAAATTTAAAAATATGACTGCTACAATCCATGAAATTTGCTAAGCCCTCTTGAATTTTTCGACGTGCATGTAATATTGTTCTTTCTGCCAAGAGACAGCGGTAGTGAATCAAGGGCTCTGTCATGACTCATCTTAACTGAGGTTTGCTGTGCTAAATATTTTTCATTTTTAACATTCAATTTGACTTCACAGGAATCACCCTTCAGTTATAGTTCAGCCAGGAAAGAGACCTTTACCTGTGGAATCTCCAGACACGCAAAGAAAACGCAGAATACACCGATGTGACTATGAAGGCTGCAATAAGGTCTACACTAAAAGCTCCCACCTGAAAGCTCATAGAAGAACGCACACAGGTTTGAGCATTGCTCTGCTTTTCTTTCATCAAGTCTGTGGTAAAGCAGTAGAATAAGCTTTTAATTTGTGCTGATCACCGGATTGCTACGGGACTCAATAATAAAATGACATATCTTGGATCTGGCAGTGTTATGAATATAATTGTGAATATAATTATAGAAAGAAGATGTAGCAGGAAAAGCCCACAACAAGAGATTTTAAGCCAAAGCAGGATCATGGTGTATGCTAGTAGGCTTTACATTCCCTGGCTCTTTGCTCATTTTCTTTCCAGTTACTTGCAGATTACTTACTCTGTACACCCTGAAAACACCAAATCGGTCAAATTGCAGTACCTCACTGCTTACATCACTGCTAAATTTGACTGAGACTTCCATGGGAGTAGCCCATTTACAAAAGTCTGGACTGTGTGCCATATAGGTGTGGCCATGTGGACTTGCTAACCGTTGGTCCAGTAGTGCTCTTTTCTGAGCGCTTTTCTTAGAGCTCTTTCCTGAGTGAGCGTTCCAATAAAGATTTCTCCATCTCTGTTCTCTGCAGATATGTTCATCTTGGCATGCTGAATACATATGTGCATGTGTGTGTATATGTGTATACGCACACACATGTATAAGGTGTATACATGCACACATATAGGTATATGTACCCTAGATTTTTACAAATACATGAGAAACTTTCAGGTAAAACTGAGTTCATTTCTTTACCGTCTCACATCTGTGCACAAACCAGACCTCTACCTGGTTGGCACCACAATGGTATAAATGAGAATGAGGATTACATATTAGAAAATAATTACTGAGAGAGATTTTAAGTCGAGCTATTTGTGACAGTGGTACCATTTATTTTTGCTACGGTAGCTTTAAGAGGTCATAACCAGATGTCTGCCTGCTGCGTTGAATGATAGAAACAGCCCTTTCCCCTCCAAGTAATTTCCAATATGAGGTCCTGGTTTTGAAAATACTGGAACAAGTGTATAAACCTTCACGCTGCTGGGCTTGATGAGACAAAACAAGTGCTAATATGGCAGAGGGAGGAACAGAGAGACAATAACAAAAAGAAGTTGTGGCAGGAAACGATTTTTTGATCTGTGAATTCTGACTGCACAGTTTCCAGCGCAGAACAGTCTGCAGCACAGTGCTGGCTGGAGGCTTTTTGGGTAAACATGGAAGAACTACCTGGAATTTGAGAAGACAAGAGGATAAATCTGCTAAATTACAGATGTGTTTGTGTCTTAAATCCCCAATTCTGTGTTTCTTTTTCCAGGTGAAAAACCATACAAATGCACTTGGGAGGGATGCACGTGGAAGTTTGCTCGTTCTGATGAACTAACACGGCATTTCCGCAAGCATACCGGAATCAAACCTTTTCAGTGCCCAGACTGTGACCGTAGCTTTTCACGTTCGGACCATCTTGCTCTTCACAGAAAACGCCACATGCTTGTCTGAGTGTCTTCTGTCCCTGACTCCCATCACACTTTTTTTTTTTACGTGTGCGTTTTAATTTCGATTCAGCTGGTCTGAATCTCTGAGTTTATACCATTAAAAGCTTACATATGGTCAGTAATAGATGTTATCTAACCCTTCTATGTCCTTGCCACGGGTCAGACCTAAAGAATGTGAACTTTTTTTTTTCCTGGGGATGCTAAGCAAACCCTTTCAGCAGACAGTATGTTTAATGTATTCCTTTGTGAATAAGGGAACTTGTAAACTAACAACTTCTGTTGGTTTCTTCATATAATCAACCCAGCATATACTGATAAAGTAGTAAATGTTATTGAATATCCAGAATGCTAGTCCTTGCCAGAGACTTTATTTATGTGCCCTGTAAAGGATACACTCTCATTTTATGCTGAACAATGCAATGAACGGACTCTCCCATCCTCATTGGTTTCTGCAGTATGGCTAATACAACAGTTTTAGAAAGACACCTGATTGGGAATAACACTGTAAAAATTAATCTAATCGACATAATTACTTTACAGAAAGAAAGATTGATTCATAATATCGCTTA